ACAATGGCTTCTGATCTTAATTGATTGGATGTGTTAACAACTAACATGTACATGTTTTGTGTTAGTCAATTAATATGGGCTGCAGTAAATATTCCATTCACTATCACAAATTTACTTGACTGTAGCCTGTTAGGAATTTTCCATGGGGTGCTGACACAATGAATATCTGTTCATGGCTGGGAGTAATTGCAACACCCTAACCCTAACATCATAGTTGGGTATCGACAGAGTTTGCCTTAGCTTCTGATTTGATCGGATGGGAGCTGTTAGAATACACATCATTTGTTTTAGTGAATTAACGCCACGGTAGGTATTGTCAACGATTCACCCAAAAATATACATGAAGAAAAATGCCCAAACTTAATAAAAACTAAATTTTATCTTCAAAATCTTAATTTTATTATTAAGAGGAATGACCAAAAGAATTTTTGAATTAAATTATTAGAGACCTCAAAATTTGGGTTAAAAATTATGTTTTTCTTGCGTCAGCGAGCGACGGGAAATGTTTATGTCTTTTCGAGTGGAAAACACATTGTTTTTGAAATTCTTGCAAAATCAGATAATTTACGGATTTTAATGAAAATTTCAGGATTTCTTTCGATTAATTGTTTTCATTTTTTTTTTTTTATAAATTTTAATTCAGTCAGTTATGTGCCATATGTGATACACGCTTAGGCGATCATGTATCTTTCGATACATGACTGACGAGGCATATTTTTCTCCGCAGTAGGTTGTCATTTCTTTCTGCGGTAGACCAGTTGCAATCCAAGACTATAGAACCCTGTCTGTCCTGCTATTTACCCATAGCTGGGTGGGGAGAAGAAAAAGATTCATACCTTTCTCAAGGGTATTAGCACGTAAGTAAATGTAATGGATTCGACTGGAATTCGAACTCGACTCTCCGATTCCTCAATCCGAGCCGCTAAAGTTTTAAATCTTTTAAAATTCTGCATTAATTTGTAACGGTTAGGTGATATTATTATTAAGTAAAAACTATATTTACTCATCATAAATGGATATGATTAATTCAATTCCGTGAAACCTAATGTTTTAAAAAGAATTTTGAATTGTGTGTGTGCGTGAATAAACGCGGCATTTTTTATAAATACGGGCTTCCATACACGATATTACTAGAAAATAAGAGCGATAATTATAATAAATTGAAAGTCAAAGTAACTAAAATTCAATAAAACATTAAATTTTCCTAAATTTTTAAGATAACTGAGTAGTTAAGCAATTATATATAAAAAGCGTTCACGTTATATCCATCAAGTAATTGTTACATTAATTTCGAGATTCACAAATATAAATCTAGCGAGAAACTTGCCAAGACCTTATAAAACATTCACCTGTGTTAAAAATGCATCTCTCTTCACAAGCGACGGTAATAAGGAAGGATCATAATCAGAGTTTTTTTTTTAAGTTTAAAGGATGAATCAGCCAAGGAGACTTGGGAGTTTACATCTATATACTTGGGAGAAATCTTGATTGGAGACAATCTGAGCGGACTGGGTAACACGACCTGAAGTTATTTGCAACTGGAGTATATTTTAAGCTTTTGTATAACCAATTACTATTTGCGTGCATATTGACTGTAATTAATTATATCAATTTAATTAATATGCGAAACTAATTAATTAAGATTAGAATTAACATGTTTCTGTGAATTTTATTTATAAAAATCAAGTTTCAAATGGTACAAGAATTTGGGTGTTACAAAAGTTCCAATCTTTAAATTGGTGTAAGTATCTGGAGATTAAAAAGGTTCATTGCAAGTTAAGAGTCTTTGGTAGCAAAAAGTTAAAAATACTTTGGAACCCATTGTCTTTTAATTATAGTACGAAACTTTGAAAACGCATGAATCCAACATTTTCCGTCTGCTCTTTTCTAAAAAAAACCACGCAAGAAATTACCCCAGTGACCTTTGCAATGAAACTGAAAGAAGTCGATGCTCGAGAAAGAATTTTAAAACTTTCTGACCTCATAAAGTTGCAAAATATAGTTGGTATTGCCTTTTGAATAAGACTTGCTGACCCTTGATTTCAGTGATAAAATACACAGGAGATACAAACAAGAATATATTTGTGGTATTATCTCATAGAATATTCATGTAAAAAATCAATTCTTCAAGAGGTGGACATAATATTCGATAAATATCTTTATAGGAGCTTTATAAGCGACAGAATGTTTCAGGTTTTGGTCAGTGGTTAGAAACAATGTCGACCAACCGAGAGTATTTTCTATGAGACTACGAATCACCGACACGATTGGATCAATACATCCACATATACAGGAGCGGTAAGTAATTAAATCTGAGTCTTAAGTGCCTGGTGCTTTTATGAGCAGCAGTAAATTCTATGAAGTAGAATCTTCAAAACGGTCAGCTACTGACCAAAAATGCGAAAAAATAAATAGATAAATAAATGAAAATTTTCGGGAGCAAGTGTCTCTCGGGGTTGAGAGTTGTAAAGTTCCGCTTACATGTTTATATGAATAATGACAGTAAGTATAAGGTGGAGAGATCTGATATCGTTAGAGAGTAATTTTGAACTCACCCGTGGTCGAGTTGCCAGCCGCTCGAGATGTAGTTATCAAAGAGGAGTGGTAAGAGAGATTCAGCGTTCTCACTGGTTAGCGGATAAAGCTGATCCGTTAGTCTGTCATGAGAGAAGCAGCAAAAGTTTCCTAAGTCTCACCTGCCTACTCACCTAACCTTGCAAATGTATCTGATTAAACAATTAAATATGTCAGAGACAGAATTCGCCATTCCATTTCTCAACGTAGCGTTATTTCACCTTTCTTTTTCCTTATAAACATGCGCCGAGCATTTCCCAGTTTTGTGCACACCGACGCGAATAGAAAATCGAAGCAACGTTGGGTGATTTGCCCAGTCAGTGAGACACTGGGAGAAAGAACCCCTGGCGTATGCTGAAAGGTCTACACTTTCATTATTTTTTTTTTAATACGGTGTCCCAGCTAATATATTTATTTCGTATTCCAGTTTTTAAAAGTTGCTTAAAGACCAGATGAGAAAAAAAGATGACATAGTGCAAAAAATAGCAGCCACACGTTTGTGCTACACACAACAAAGATAAAGATAACTGTCTAGAAGCACAAAAATATAACGAGAGAAATATTCTGTCAATAACAAGAAAAACTAAATGAAAATTCTCTCAGAACTTCCGACAATGGTAAGAAGGCCAAAGAACACAGTAGCTGAAACCTTAGGATACAAATAAGAAAGATTTTTTTAATCGGTATCACCCCATGCAAGGCATTAAAGCCACTAAGATACAAGGGGTTATTGGATGTAGAAAAATTAGGAACAGAAACATTAATAATGAGTGAGAAAAGGAAAGAGTAATGAGGAGGATAATAGATAGCAACTGACATTACATCTAAATCTTTGCAGATTAAAGTTGAGGGGAAAGGATGGAGTCGGAAGGGAGTTCCACAAGCGAGGAATGCGAGAAAAGAAAATAACATAGAATTTACTGCTACATCTAACCAACTCAACTGCAAATTGATGAGATCTTGATGCCAGTCTAACATTGCGCTTAAATTCATAACGTGTAAGTACCATAGCGAAGAGATCATCCGAACAATTACCATAAAAGTATTTATAGAAAAGACACAGGGAAGCAACTTTACAACGGAAGGAAAGTGACTGAAACCGAAACGCTAGATCATGGCCATTAATATTGATGATTCTTCTTTGGATTTTATCAAGAATCTCTAAATAAATAGCAGGAGCAGCAGACCAAATATGATTAAAATTCAATGGCAGGTAATTTAATTTGCACATGCCGTACATATTCTTGCTGTTGACGGGTAATTTAACCCTTGAACGATCGGATCCATCAATTAATGCTATATTAAAGACCAACGGGCACCATTAATTAATGATTTAAAGATTTTCCCAAAATACGAACATGATTCAGTCATCATTCAAGCCTAAAAGATTAAATTCTAACTCTGGAAAAATGGAGGTTACTATTTTCTTAGATTTATTCATTCCCGAGAATATTTGCCTGCAAATAAGGTTAGAAGAACACGTCCATAACAGTGTTATGTCTGTTTGCAGACTTTGCGAAGAGACAAGAGGCGAAAATGGTGCCAACTTGGTGCAAAGAATGCTAGTTATGTGCCATGCGTGATACATGAGTATGGGGCAGATTTTTTTCTCGCAGTAAGTTGCCATTTCTTTCTGCGGTAGACCAGTTGCCATCCAAGGCTATAGAACCCGCTCTGTCCTGCTATTTGCCTATAACTGATGGGAGAAGAGGATTCATATCTTTCCTAAGTGAATGTAATGTATTCGACTGGAAATCGAACTCGTCTTACCGATTCCTCAGTCCGAGCCGCTATCCATTACTCCACCGTGCCTCCAAATAATGTACAATTTATTCTTCAAGAGGTATCTGTTAAAAAATATTAAATTTACGAGCATTTATTTTATATTTTTATTCGTTCGTATATTTTATATATATATATATCAGATGAAAGATTAAAATATCATTCTCATGGTTTGGTACATAATTAAAGCGAAAATAAATTTTACATTTTAAAAAATGAATTTTCTCGTTTTTTCCCTATTTGGTATGCGTGTTTGAACAACCTTTTTCTCCCGTTTAAGGTTTAAATAACTAGCTACAGATTTATTTTTACAGACTCTCTGTATCTATAATTAGAAATTACGAGTGCATTCTAGATAAATAGATACGAACAGACTCAAATGATCTTTGCCTTCACCCGGCCTACATTGGTTGCTGGGAGGGGGGGGCGGTAAAAGCACAACTATTTCAGCCATCAAACAGGCTAGAAACAATTCCAGATTAACACAGATTGACTGACAGATAAAGCAGACTGAAAAAGATTTAAAGACTGCAAGATAAGAGACGAGTTGATCACTCACTGTGAATGAGATTAGCAAGAGATGAAGATGAAAAGATAGACGCATTAAAGATTTCACTCTGCATTCGATCACGGGTTCCATAAAGAATTCGCCCAAAGAAACCATTTAACATTTCAATCATGCGCCCACATCTTCCATTATTCTCTCTCTCTCTCTCTTCATCTCTCTCTCTCTCCCATCCCTCACTTTACAACGCCCACTCTCTCTCTCTCTCTCTGTGTCTATTGCTCTCCTTCTCTCAACGTTCCGAACCTGTCTCTATGCATCTACGCTGAACGAGCGCTTTCCTTATCCCGTTATGCTCACCAATCCGATCGAGTCCTGCTCAATTCGTTCGTACAAAAGTCCTTTGTGCACCCACGAGTAACCAGATAA